GTTGGTCGAATATAGCTCCTCTTTGGATCCATTGGTTGGTCGAATATAGCTCCTCTTTGGATCCATTGGTTGGTCGAATATAGCTCCACTTTGGATCCATTGTTTGGTCGAATATAGCTCCACTTTGCATCCATTGGTTGGTCGAATATAGCTCCACTTTGGATCCATTGGTTGGTCGAATATAGCTCCTCTTTGGATCCATTGGTTGGTTGGATGTAGCTCCACTTTGGATCCATTGTTTGGTCGAATATAGCTCCACTTTGGATCCATTGGTTGGTCGAATATAGCTCCTCTTTGGATCCATTGGTTGGTTAGATGTAGCTCCACTTTGGATCCATTGGTTGGTCGAATATAGCTCCACTTTGGATCCATTGGTTGGTTGAATGTAGCTCCTCTTTGGATCCATTGGTTGGTCGAATATATCTCCATTTTGGATTCATTGTTTGGATGTAGCTTCGTTTCTGATTCATTGTTTGGTCGAACGTAGTTCCAGCTATATACGATGGTTTTTGGGAGGTATCTCTATTTTGGGTTCATACATTGGTTGGTTGTATTTAGTCCCATCTGGAATCATTGTTGGATGTATCATCGTCTGAACATATTGTTGGAAGTTTCTCCTTTTGAATCCATATTGATTTGGTTGGATGTATTTTTACCTGAATCCATTGGTTGCTCAAAATTATCCTCATTGTTGGATGTATCTACATCTGGATCCATTGTTGGATGTATTCCATCTTGATCCATTATTGGATGTATCTCCATCTGGATCCATTGTTGGATGTATTCCATCTGGACTATTGTTGGATGTATGCCATCTGGATCTATTGGTTAGTTGGATGTATTTTTAATTAGATCTCTATTGTTGAATGCATCTTATTCCATTGTTTTAAGTTTCTCTTTTTGAATCTATTAGTAGATTTTATGGTGTATATTTTATCTGTAATCATTGTTTGATATATCTGCACCTATAGATCCATATAGATTCTGGATTCATCTGGATCCAAGGTTTTGCAAAAGCCAATCCGATATTTTACCAAAATATCACAATACCTATTAAAAACCAATCATTCAAAATGAACAGATAAAATCTGTGATAATGCTGATGAATAACAATTCTTTAACACAAAATTAGCTCTAATTTACCTAAGCCTAGTAAGAATTTGATGTACAATTCATAAAAAATTGTAGAATAGGGGGCACCAATATTCTAATTGAAGCGCATTACTTATGAGATTGTATATCACTATTGTATACTGCAAATCACTGAATTTGTTTATTCTGTGATTGAAAAAAAAAAGAAGTCCAGAGAAGTCTCACCGCTAGAGGGCAGTGCTAGGTGAAGAATAGAGGCAGGTCCAGAGATAAATAAAGATGTGTAGGATCGAAGTCCATCAAGTATTAATGGAGTCCACTCAGTTGGATGGACCTTAGAGATGATGATCATCATCCCGGGGAAGTTGTCTGCTTCAACTGCCCACCGTCATCTTCCCTCCATACCTATGTAAATAGGGGCCATAAGAATAAATTTGAATATTCTAAAACTCTTTCTTCACTATCTGAACTAGAGCTTTAGCCTGTCGCATATATGTGAGACTGGAGACATTTTAAGAATAATTAAGCCTGAACATTTATCGATGTAATTCGATAAATCGAATTATTCTTACACCGCAAAAATTTGTCATTACATTTGTCATTACGTTATGTGGCGCTGAGTTTGTTGTTGTCACTAAAATGTTATAACACCTTGATAAAGGTTGGAGTTCAGCTAACTGAAATATTGGTAAAATAAATTATATTTTGATCCAATATATGCCTTTTTAATTAAAGAATAAGCTCTATATCACAAAGCCATTAAAAACCTAATACCAATATAATTTCTTAATATAGAACGCTTCACGATTTTGCGTGTCATCCTTGCGCAGGGACCATACTAATCTTCTCTGTATCGTTCCTATTGTAGTATATGTACCACCGAACAAGTGTTATAACTCCCCTATATATAATATATATAAATTCTAAATACAACCCTCTAAAATGTGTTTGATTTTTATAAAATTACAAATAAAATGATGAAAATATAAAAAGTTTAATTAAAAAAAAAATAACTTATTAGTATCTAACTCTCACGATCTTTAATAACGTTGTTCACACACAATACAATGTAACCTCGAAACTTAAAAAAAATACTGCACGCTGATTGGCTGGTTGACATCACGTGATACTAGAGAGCCAATCAGCGCGAGCGAATATAAACTGATCACCTACCACTCTACACAAATACATATAATCAGACTAAGATATATATTATAGTAGATATGAAGCGAAGTAGATACCAGTTATATTGTTAATACATCTTTTTAAAAATAATAATAAAATTAAACACGACAAGAGGCATGTTTCATATATAAATACTGTGTGACGGTTGAAAAATTATTACAATATAAAATATTTAACATAGAAGTTCTCTTATATATAACACGCTAGATCAATAAAATCAATAGTTTTTTTTCTTTAAAATGCAAAGCGCAGAATACGTTCCATTTATAGAATAACTTTTATTAATATACAGAGAGAAAACATTTTACGATACGAGAACACAATCTAGAAAGAATCAGAAAAGAGTACAATACTTTTTACCAACACAAAAAAAAAATCAATTTGAAGGCGACCTTACACATGAAGAGAGAATAAGAAATAAAGCATAATATACATAATATATAAATAATATATACATAATATTAAAAATACTTTAGTACACGATACAAAGAATACACTATCCTAAAAAAAACATAATCCAGAAGGATCATAAAAAGATTGACATGGTTTCTATCCAGACAAGACGAAAACTCTAGTACGATTCAAAGAAGATACTACTTGATGAGGAGCATGAGCCAGAAGGATCAGAAAAAATGTAAAATACTTTCTATTCTGACAAGACGAAACTCTAGTACGATCTAAAGAAGATACTACTGAAGGAGGAGCATGATCCATAAGTATCAGAAAAAGGGTAAAATACTTTCTATCCAAATAAGACGAAAACTCTAGCACGGTTCAAAGAAGATACTACTGAACGAGGAGCATGGGCCAGAAGTATCGGTGAAGAGTGTAAAATACTTTCTATCCAGACAAAATAAAGCTCTAGTACGATCTAAAGAAGATACTACTCCAAGAGGAGAATAATCCATAAGGATCAGAGAAGACGGTAAAATACTTTCTATTCTAACAAGACGAAACTCTAGTACGATCTGAAGAAGATGATACTATCGATAAAACCAGGTTCAGTACTTTGTCTCGAAGAAAAGAGGAAAATCCAACCGGTACCGTGAAAATAAAAAGGTAAAGAAAAGAAGAAAAACTGGCAGATTACCTCCAAGCCTTTCAACAAGTTTCTACCTATTTTACATATCAAAACGGGTATATGCAACTTTTATCTCTGGCGATGGCTTTGGACGAAAACAATGAATATTTCCTTTAAAAGGAATATTTGGCATTCAAGTAGTGTTCATGGTTACCATTTCCTGTTTAAAATTAGAAGGTAATATTTCTCCTATTAGGTGGTTATATTTGTGGGAATTTTTTAAACCACAAATTTCTTCTTTCTTTTTTAAATGATGACCAGGTCATTTACTGATTAGTCAATACTGATTACCATCTATCGGAATAAATATATCAACTAAAGGTTGTGTTTTTTTTAACCCTATTAGTTGATTTTTTTCTTTTAATAAATTAGGTAGTCATCTACGTACGCGTTTCGGAGATGTTGGTCCTCTTCAGCATAGGGTAGGCTTTACTTCAGCAAACTCTAAGAAAATGTTGACGAGTCTTCTTGATAAATTAAATGTTTATTCGTTTTACACATATTTATTTACTTGTATTTCTTTAAAATGTCTCTCTAGAAATATTTCTCTAGTTCTCCAATAATCGGTATTACATTTATTCAGTTTTATAATCCGAAATATTATTTATATTTGATGGACTTTTATTTTATTAACAAGAAGGATGGTAAACGAAGGGTACGCATCGTCGATATTTGAAAATCACGACCCGGGTTCGAATACCGTATTGAACACTTTTTTTTCCCTACCTCAACGGATACCGATTCTTACACAAGACCAACCCCACCAATGAGTACAAGTAATCAAACGGGGCTCTAGCATCTTGTAAGTGCAAATTTCGAACTGCTTTCTACGTGTATTGACATGTGGTGCACTTACAATAAAAGGCAATCGCTAACAATTCACCATGACTATCATAGCCCATGTACCATAAATTAAAAAATATATATAAATATTGACAAAATTTCTAAACCACTCTTTATACCCGAATTTTTGCCATAAATTAATTAAAATTATTCATTAGTGTAAAATTCTGGGAGATTTATTCCATTTATAATTCTGAAAGGTATAAGCACACGCAATATGCAAAAAAAGAAAGAGAGAAGCGCTAATTTTTAAAAAACAAAAATAACACACGGTACACATAAAAAAAACCTCTACAATTTCGAAATTAAAAGCAAAATGTGTCTCGCACATTAACACAATCATTATTAGCACGTTTGGTTAATCCCTCTATGGAAATTGCATAAAATAAATTTGGGTTTGTGTCGTCTGCGCCGTTTTTTTACAGTATTAACCACGTGACCTGCATGCTGATGAGGAGATGAGGATGATGATAAATCCCCAGGACTGCCGGTCCATTACTATGATTAACACAAGACTCCTACACTCTGTGATGTGGTTGTTTCGTGGCTAGTTTTAACACATTTTCACGGGAACATTTGAGAAAATCAAATTTTCAGTTTTTTAATATATACTTATTTTGTACAATATAATTAGGCTTGTGATTGAAAAACGAGATTTTTAAAATTATCCCGCATGTGTTTCTTTTTCAACGAAAAATACAAATTTATTTTAAGGAGAAATAATGATTATTTCTAACCTTAGGGATGAGGTATGAAAGGATGAATTGTGAAGAGTAATGATAAACGGAAAAATAAAAGTGTCCAGGGATGGGAATCGAACCCACAGTGTTCTGCTTACCGGGCAGATGCCATGTCCACTAGGCTACCCTGGACATATTTTTCCGTTCGTAAATAATACATAAAGTAATTTATAATACAATATAATATAAATCACTTATTTTGTTTTTAGTCTTGTTTATTAAATTAAGCTACTAAAAATGTATTTAGACGCAAGTATCCCAAGCTGGGATTATGCGTCTAAAATGTCAATTAAAAAAAAAAAATACATTCTTATTTTACTTAAATAATTCTTATTCAGAGAAATAGTATATAATCCCATAGTATTTTAGATATTTATTTTCCCTTTGATATTAATGTTGTTTCTGGTGATGGTGGTGCTTATCTCCATGGTTAAACCAATTCCTGAAGTCCTCTCCAATTTCGATGGTAGTTATAGGCCTGGGTCCTCTATTGTCAGTTCTGAGCATGATATGTTTCGGAGAAGCTTCCGCACTAATGCATTTCAAGCAGTTATTGAAGGGTTTTTTTTTTGTACATTATTAAATTTTAAGGTTTTTATATGGCCACTACTTAGTCTTGCTAAAGCTGTTTGTTGATTTCTATTGAGTTTATGAAGTTCTTCTAATTGTTTCAATGGTTTGTACCAGTGATGATGTTGTTTCTTATCCCTTTGTGTAAAGATTACACGAATTCCATGAGTTCATGCTCCTCGAGCTGATCTCATGGAATGGGGTGTAGGGGTGTAGCTTTCATTGATCATGGCACCGTGATCCAGGCACACTTTGGGGAAAAGTCTGACTTTGCCTGTAGTTTGAGGCCGTTCCTAACATGGAAGCCTTTGCTGCCGACTCTAACATAAGTAGGTAGACGCAGCTCCTCCATATCCCTGGAGAGGAAGCCTTGCTGAAGTCAGTTGATATTAATAATTACCTTCAATTAGGCCTTTTATTCTAATCGTTTGACATTTTATTTAGGAACAATTGGACATTTTATAGATATCAGATATCTTCCTTTGTAGACATTTTCTTTCAATATTATTCCTATTCTTTTGATATTAGACAATTTTCTTTAATAAGTGTTTCCCTATACATTTGACATTGCATTTGGGATAGGAAATTTTTCCTTCGTAGGCATTTTTCTTTTAATCAATTTTTAATATTTTGGATTTACATAGGTGATTTTGTGTTTGAGATATTTATTTAGGTATTAGACATGCGTCTTGAAGACACACGCGATAACCAAAGTGTGAAAAAAATTGCCTCTGTCTTCTTAAAAAAAAAAAACAGACGATCGGCGGCATTAAAGACTTTCCACTTAGGTTTTGTCAATGAGTGTATAATTCTTTTGATATTAGATTTTCTTGGTTCCATATATGCATATTTCATCACGCACATTGGGTATTTGACATTCAATTATAAATAGTAACCTTTATTAGACATATTTAGCTAAAATTGAATATCTTCGAAATAGTTTATGCAAATTCATAATTAATAAATTATACAACATTACATAAGTTACGCTCCAGGAATCCGGGTTACATCGAGAGAGAGTTGCATAAGTTTAAATGCTCTGAATCTATATATATATATATAATTGAATGTCTGTCTGTGTGTAATCTATAGATTCAAAACCATACATCCAATCGCCGTGAAAATTTGGGATATTATTAGGTATATCCCCGGGAAGGTTTTTGAAAAATAATTTCTTGAATATCTTGAATATCCTTAGAGTTATTTGCAGATTTAATTCGCAAGCAGCGCCACCATTGCGACGATGATACCAAGTTTTTTTACCTATAAGTTTTATTATCACTAAGTTTATTATCTTAAAGATTATTTATCAAAAGTAAGATTATCTCAGGATGACACGGCAATTTATTTGAGACAAGAATAATGATACAATTCAAGGCGAAGATACTATTCCTTTAACTTCCAATTACCGAGGGAACCAATTAATATTGATTTTATTCAACTTATCGAGTATTTTTCAAGGGACCGGGAAAAATGTTCACTAAATAAAACGATGATTTTGTAATGTAGAAAATTAGGAAAGACAAAATTCAGGATGACACGGCACACAGGGACCGGGAAAAAAATGTTCACTTTATCGAGAGATTCAAATTTACGAGTTTCAAATTATCAAAATATATCTTTTTTTTAATAAGTTTATAGAGAATTGTTTTAACAAATGTTCGTTAGACAAACCTTTACTCGGGTAAAACCTCGGGCGAAGCCGGGTACATCCGCTAGTATGTTTATAAATATCTCTTTCTTACCATTATTTCTTAATCATAATCATAAATATCATTTGAAAGATTTTTTTTTTAATTTATAGAATGTATCGAATTCATTTATTCGTCTCTTTTAAATATATTGATTTTAAATATTTTCCCCCAACAACTTATATAAGCAGAATCGTTCAATACAGTATTAGAGCTCTAAGAAACGGTCTGGTAGATTAAATTGGCGAAACCGCTTGGAGGGTTAGCCACTGATGAGTCAAGCCCTCACAATATTTTTTCATCGTAGTAAAGACAGTAGAAGTTTGTGTTATATTTAAAAAATAAACATTCGTGTTTTAATGCTTCCATTTCTTATATTTGACCTCTACCTGTCAAAATGTGAAATTCCAATCGTTATTAGAGCACTAAAATAAAAATAAAAAATGTGTTTTTTAAATAACACATTTAACACACAACTACTAATCGAAAAGATGAATATTTGACTCAGTGATATTTTGAATAAAATACGACCATTGATCTAAAATACTTGACAATTTCTCGAAGAAAAAAAAAACAAACAAACAAGAAATTAATTTCACTTTAAGGATGTGGAAGATGGAAGGGTAATTATCGGTAAAATAACGCGCGAAAAGAAATAATTTTAAATTTTACAAAAAAAAAAAAAAAGGGCGGGAAAATGGCTTTAAAGACAAGTCAGACGATTCTTCAACAAAAGAAGCCAGCCGATAGAAAATTAAAATCAATAGAAACGCAGCTTTCAACAAAATCCTGCATCTCAAACCCCATAGAAAGCCATGCAGATGAGCTTCAAAATCTTCAATAAAACCTAAGTTTAAAGGGGGAAGAGAAAAAGCGATAAAAAAAAAAGAGAAAAGTGAGGGCTAAATGTACGACGTACAAATTATTTTACACGGTAGGATTATACTTGTCACACGACTTTTTTTTAAACTTTCTTTTGTGGCAAAATAATTGTATTATTATTAGTGTTAAGTCTTCGCTTTTATATTTTTTATTAAAATGATTTTTTCTAACTTTAAATTGTGTCATAATAAAGCGATTATTTAAATTGGGGGATCACAGATGGGGACGATTAATTCATTAGATTGTCGTCTGGTGAGAATTTGTGAAATGAAGGGTGGCCATTTTTTGTGTTCTTTTTTTATTATTATTTTTAAATATCTGCTGTGCTTTTCCTTTCCCCCATCTTCTAATATTACTTCACAGTGTCATCAAATTATTTTTGGGACTTTAAAATTAGCAAACGACACTAAAGCAGACGAAAATGATACAAAATAACTTTGGCAGACGACTTTAAAAAAAAAAAAAGGCGGGAAAAATTGAAAAGTTCCCTTTTGTATTAAGGCACAAGGCTAATTCGGTTAAGGGATAGTGATTAAAGGAAAATGACGTCATCTTTTGTTCACGCTCGTCTGCAAAGGAAAAGAAAAAAGAAACCAGACGACTAATTGCATTACTACGAGTCAAATAATCTTGATGGAGGACAGATGTTGGAACAATGGAGGACGTGATATTGATAAGAATTGACACCTCAAGGCTTAACACACACACACACACCCAATCACGATTAATATAATAAATTCAACAAATGTAAATCAGATACGGTAATTTGCAATTTTAGAAAGGCTTAACAACTTTATAACATACTTTTTATTAAAATATCGATAAGCTTGTTTTTTAATAGTGTTCAATATGCAATTTTTCTTGATAACGCATTTTTTAAAATATCGTTTGATACATACGATTTTTGTGACCAAATAAAAAAAAAAAAGACCTTTACTAGTAATACAAATCCATCAGGAATAGATCACTAATAAACAATTAGGAGTTTTTCATTATTTCATTGTAGTTACATGACCTTTAATATCGAATGTAAAACATCTTATGTTATATTACATAGCAAAAGAAATACAAACAATCGCTACTGTAATATATCTGACCAACCGATCTATCACTCAACAAGCCAATCAACCATAAAGTAATCCATCAAATTCACATCAACTTTGATGTATCAATTATACTTATCATGGGGATTCGGTGTGTTTTGGGGTATTGCAAAAGTTATCAATAGATTTGCATATTCTTTAAGGGTATATGTAAATATAAATTACATCTTCTAATCAATTGGCGTCTTTTGAATTACTATTTCGAATCATCCTGTGTGAGGTTTCTTTTTTTTCGTCTGCTGTGAAAATGATTAAAGAAAGAAATATGATGATTGAATTTCTTTTTCTCTAATATGTTAATATTGGAAAATGAATATAGCGATGAAAATTGAACGTTTTAACACTTTTTTGATCTATATATATTTTTTATTGTCCATAATGAAATACAGATATATATATTGGCTCATCAGTACTAAATTCTTTCATCAGTTTCGACATTTTTATCGTTCTTACAACAATTGCATAAATATACCTAGTATATACACCTATACACCCAGTATATACCATATATACACCTAGTTTCAGAGACAATCTTTTAGAGAGAGGTGTCCTCTTATCTGAGAGAAGCTAAATAGCTAAAATGGTAATTTTTGACGATGAAAACTGTCCTTTGTAGAGAGATGTCCAGTGAGACTGTCTTCATATCAATTTTAAAGTTTTTTTTTTTTAATTCAATAAAACCTTTTTTTTTTTAAACTATTGAAAGCTTTAATGTATTTTCTTTGTAATTTTAGCGTTACGGTGGTTGTTTGGGGGGAAAAAATGGAGACCATTTTCAACGTAGCCTCAACAATTTCTGAAGGGAAGAAAGCAGACGATTCTGGGATGATATCCATCTTGGTTGAGACAATGTGGGTTGGGCCGTACAAAAGAAGGCCATAGCACC